ATTTTTTTTTGGGAGTGGGGGTGCCAGAACAGGAGGCACATGCCAGACCTATTGTACATATTTTTAGTGGTAGGGGAAACCGGAGCACCCGGAGGAAACCTACGCAGACACGGGGAGAACATGCAAACTCCACTCAGAAAGGCCCTGGTCCAACCGGGATTTGAACCCAGGACCTTCTTGCTGAGAGGCGAGAGTGCTATCCACTCAGCCACCATGCCGCCCTCTCTAGTCTCTCTCTGGTCTCTCTCTGGTCTCTCTCTCTCTCTGGCCTCTCTCTGGCCTCTCTCTAGTCTCTCTCTAGTCTCTCTCTAGTCTCTCTCTAGTCTCTCTCTAGTCTCTCTCTGGTCTCTCTCTCTGGCCTCTCCCTGGCCTCTCTCTGGTCTCTCTCTGGTCTCTCTCTGGTCTCTCTCTAGTCTCTCTCTGGTCTCTCTCTAGTCTCTCTCTGGGGTCTCTCTGGTCTCTCTCTGGTCTCTCTCTAGTCTCTCTCTGGTCTCTCTCTGGTCTCTCTCTGGTCTCTCTCTGGTCTCTCTCTGGTCTCTCTCTGGTCTCTTTCTGCTCTCTCTCTGTGGTCTCTCTCTGGCCTCTCTCTGGTCTCTCTCTGGCCTCTCTCTGGCCTCTCTCTGGTCTCTCTCTGGTCTCTCTCTCTAGTCTCTCTCTGGTCTCTCTCTAGTCTCTCTCTGGTCTCTCTCTAGTCTCTCTCTGGTCTCTCTCTGGTCTCTCTCTGGTCTCTTTCTGCTCTCTCTCTGTGGTCTCTCTGGTCTCTCTCTGGTCTCTTTCTGGCCTCTCTCTGGTCTCTCTCTGGTCTCTCTCTGGCCTCTCTCTGGTCTCTCTCTGGTCTCTCTCTGGTCTCTCTCTGGCCTCTCTCTAGTCTCTCTCTGGTCTCTCTCTAGTCTCTCTCTGGTCTCTCTCTGGTCTCTCTCTGGTCTCTCTCTGTGGTCTCTCTGGTCTCTCTCTGGTCTCTCTCTGGTCTCTTTCTGCTCTCTCTCTGGCCTCTCTCTGGCCTCTCTCTGGTCTCTCTCTGGTCTCTTTCTGCTCTCTCTCTGGCCTCTCTCTGGTCTCTCTCTGGTCTCTCTCTGGTCTCTCTCTGGTCTCTCTCTGGTCTCTCTCTGGTCTCTTTCTGCTCTCTCTCTGGTCTCTCTCTGGTCTCTCTCTGGCCTCTCTCTGGTCTCTCTCTGGTCTCTCTCTCTAGTCTCTCTCTCTGGTCTCTCTCTGGTCTCTCTCTCTAGTCTCTCTCTCTAGTCTCTCTCTGGTCTCTCTCTCTGGTCTCTCTCTCTAGTCTCTCTCTCTAGTCTCTCTCTGGTCTCTCTCTGGTCTCTCTCTGGTCTCTCTCTCTAGTCTCTCTCTCTGGTCTCTCTCTGGTCTCTCTCTCTAGTCTCTCTCTCTAGTCTCTCTCTGGCCTCTCTCTGGTCTCTCTCTGGTCTCTCTCTCTAGTCTCTCTCTCTAGTCTCTCTCTGGTCTCTCTCTAGTCTCTCTCTGGTCTCTCTCTGGTCTCTCTCTGGTCTCTTTCTGCTCTCTCTCTGGCCTCTCTCTGGTCTCTCTCTGGTCTCTTTCTGGTCTCTCTCTGGTCTCTCTCTGGTCTCTTTCTGCTCTCTCTCTGGTCTCTCTCTGGTCTCTCTCTGGCCTCTCTCTGGTCTCTCTCTGGTCTCTCTCTCTAGTCCTCTCTCTGGTCTCTCTCTGGTCTCTCTCTCTAGTCTCTCTCTCTAGTCTCTCTCTGGTCTCTCTCTAGTCTCTCTCTGGTCTCTCTCTCTAGTCTCTCTCTCTAGTCTCTCTCTGGTCTCTCTCTGGTCTCTCTCTGGTCTCTCTCTCTAGTCTCTCTCTCTGGTCTCTCTCTGGTCTCTCTCTCTAGTCTCTCTCTCTAGTCTCTCTCTGGCCTCTCTCTGGTCTCTCTCTGGTCTCTCTCTCTAGTCTCTCTCTCTAGTCTCTCTCTGGTCTCTCTCTAGTCTCTCTCTGGTCTCTCTCTGGTCTCTCTCTGGTCTCTTTCTGCTCTCTCTCTGTGGTCTCTCTGGTCTCTCTCTGGTCTCTTTCTGGTCTCTCTCTGGTCTCTCTCTGGTCTCTCTCTGGTCTCTTTCTGCTCTCTCTCTGTGGTCTCTCTGGCCTCTCTCTGGTCTCTCTCTGGTCTCTCTCTGGCCTCTCTCTGGTCTCTCTCTGGTCTCTCTCTGGTCTCTCTCTAGTCTCTCTCTGGTCTCTCTCTAGTCTCTCTCTGGTCTCTCTCTGGTCTCTCTCTGGTCTCTCTCTGTGGTCTCTCTGGTCTCTCTCTGGTCTCTCTCTGGTCTCTCTCTGGCCTCTCTCTGGCCTCTCTCTGGTCTC